ATCGCGATCGACTGGAGAGAGTTCTTGAAACTAGATCCAGTCATAAGAGAGATCCCACAATCCCACGCGCGCGAGAAAATACAAGATGGCTGCTGAACACGTGTCCGGCTATCGACAGAAAAATAAAAAAAGACATCTGGAGAGACGATGACATCTGTCTATTATTAGATATACGGCAAGAAAAAGTATTTATTTCTAACCAAAACTCCCATTTTGTTTGTTGGTGTTCGTGACTTACCGCGTAGTTATGTCAATTTTATCATCGCGTGTAATAGCCGGTTTCTTCTCAAGCGAGTTACCTGTGCGAACAGCACGACGTTCCACTAGCGACAGTCACAATCCAGATTGTGGGTAAATCGAGATCGAAGTGAGTCGTGGATTGTGTGCGAACGGAGTATTAGGCTCATTCTGACGTGAGATAGACTTTTTCCCCCTCAACGTCGGCAAACCTTACAGTTGGGACCTTAAAGTTCTGTAACTTCAAAGTATCGCGCTAAGTATCCACTGTAGATACAAATATATAGAGAAATTCTCGAAATTTGAAGCGCAGTTATGAAGACTTCCTCGCCACACACCAAGTGGCATTCGACGGTCGTTGTCAAAATTGTGGCTACGAAACAAAAGACTTTTCTATTACTTTGTTTAAAGAAGAATGGAGCTTCTGAGCTACATACTGAGGTGCGTCGTCCTTGAACGCAGAACTCCCCCACCGCTAGAATGGACGTTGAATCAACGATGACGCTCTGTATCGATGCTTTCCACGCGTTCAGATAACTCGCCTTGTGAATTCTCTTATGTTGGAGTACTAAAGAATACGGTTTATGATCCACCATTATCCACGTCATTGGCAAAGCTCCGGGACCTAATTACCGCTGCAAATAATATCATTCAGCCAATGCGTGAGGAGAACTGGACAACTGCTTAGACATACGACTAGAAAAAGAACACATGTAGAACAGCTTTATTCGTGTAACACAAACTTCGATTGTTCCTAAATCTTTTCAATAAAAATATATTTCGTATACGCTTCAGACGAAATTGTTTTCAGCGGGAATTCCTTTATTGTATAAATTAGAGGAAGAAATTGAAAAAAGTTGACAAGTAGTCACGACTATACGCTATATTTCCCAATTATCAGAGGAAGCAATTACAATACAATCAATAACTACAATGCCGAAACGACAAGAATAATTAAACATTGAAAGATAATAACAGATAATAAATGTCGATGGACGTTTCGATTAGCAATAAATCATTAGGCGTATTGTGTACTAATAATTATTCAATTGGGAATATGCGATATACACTCGAGATTAAATTTTGTTGAAGAAATTACGTATCCTTAGCGAGTGACGTCGATGTTTTTTGACTTTTTGCTTTTGAAAGTCAGGTGGAGCCACTAGATTTTTTTAAATTTGTAACTACCGACTTAACCGCCAATACCATTAAATTTGGAAAAGATTCGGGGTTCGTGCATTATAAGAAACGAGAAAATTCAGTCTTTTTTAATTAAGAAATGAAGGAAATTTGTTGCAAGGAAGAGAAATGCCGACAACGATAATGTTGAATTTATAAGGTGAGACGAACGTTTCAATTGGAATATTTCCAAGTAAATTCTCGAACAGATTAAAGAATTAGGATAATTTAAAGATTTAATTTGATAATCTAGTGTAAATATAAATGGGTTTGGTGAAATTAATGAATATTTTATTATATTTAAAGAGGTACACAATTTCCTTTATTCCCGTAACACGTGGAAAAACTTGACTGAAAGGTTTTGGGTCACCTTTTGCCTCTTTCCACTCAAACAGGTAAATTCTCTTTCCACTCAAACAGGGCGCATTATTTCGCTTTAATGTTATGAAAAGGAAAATACTCGGAGGATGACATCACTTTATGCATCATTAACATATCTGGTTTATTTTTTAGATTTTCCACTTCTTCCCTTAAGTATCCCGAAAGGTCGTATGTATATTTAAAATTTATGTGTCTAATAATATAAAAGTCTGTCAGATTTCTTTTAAGTGAGAAATTAATAATAAAAGTGAAAGTTTTATTATACAATGTTTGATATTTACGTTTTTTCTTGTAAGATATACTTCGGAGGAGTTCAACATTTCGCCCGAAGAATTACGGATGAAATCTGAAAGTTTGGAAGAATGAAGGGAACATATACTACTGAGAAAATGGATTTAAATATCGGAAAGACTTTCTTTGTGATAAATTTATCGAGAAAAATGTCTTTGTAAATAAACCTTGAACAATTTTTGTGGGGACCGAAAGAAACGAAGAAATTGTTATAAATGATTGATTTCTGCATTTTACGATAAATTTGAAATTGGATTTATTTTAGATTAAATATAGGTTTATTTTTAAGATATAGCCAATAAGTCGAACATGTTTTTCTGCATTTGTGGTTCTATTTATTGATTTATGTTCGATGTTTAAATTCAGATTTAACATCGTTTGACTTTTCTATAGGTTTTGTGCATGAAAATGCAAAGAAATTTCGCTGTGAAGATTGTGGAAAAGCATTCCGTGTCAAGTCCAAATTAGAAAGTCATCGCAGGATTCACACGGGAGAAAAGCTATTTCCTTGTCAGTTCTGCACACGAAGATTCAGCCGTAAGTGGGATTTAGGACGGCACGTTAGGATTCATTCTGGAGAGAAACCTTTTACCTGCGACCATTGCAAACGGAGCTTTACACAAAGTCAAAATCTAGTAAAACATCTTCGCATTCACACTGGCGAAAAGCCATTTGCTTGTGATCACTGCAAACGGAGATTTTCGAGGAAAGATCATGTAATAAGTCATCTTCGCATTCACGCAGGGAAAGAGACTTGAAAATTGTCTTGAAAATTCAGGTTAAGTTATCACAGGAAACACCTTCCAAATAAACATTCGTATAGCTCTTTTTTTCTTTTAAATTTTGAATGTTTTAGAATTCTTCCAGTATTTAGTTTATGGATGTTCTTTCAAAACGTGTAATCTGATTTAAATATTTGTTTTATTTAATTTATACGGTTATGAAAATAAAACGTTTTCGCGTTGAAATATTAACTTTTCTTATTGTAATTAAAAAACAAAGAAGCTTTGAATAACAAATCACAGTAGTTTTGATTTACCTTTTGATTCGTTGAATGCAACGTTATGACAGAAAATACTCAGAGGTTGACATTATTTCTTATTTAGTAAAAGGAAATATATATGTACGGACACATTATAAAACACATAAGAATCATGAATATCAATTTCAATAGAAAAATAAAATAATGTTGATAATACAGCGCATAGTAATAAGCCTGTATAAAACAATACAGTGATGATGATAATTGGTAATAACAATGAATTTTAGTCAATTCCTGTAGCTTGTCGAACGACTTGTCTGGGAAGTTTTTCTTCGCCTTTTGTCTGAATTGTTGGATGTAAAAATTTGACCAACATTTGATCTCCAACATTATAATGTGGAAAGTATTCTCAACTGCGAAGGTGCGTTACATCGTTCCGCGCCTTATTTTGTACAGAGTTCTGCCATGTTAGAAGCTAGACAAACAGCTTGTGATGGTCGACTGTTCTTTGTATTTGTTCAATGAAACATACTTTACATTCAAACAGTGTATCATTATACACAATCTCTTCACTTTTAACAGAAAGTACTCAGAAAATGACATTACATTATGAATCATCAAGAAAAATACTATAATATCGTCCATTTAACTTCAAAATTTTTCACATCTCTTTCCCATTATGAGAGATCTTACGGTAGAGATGGATTTATAAAAATATTGTAAATTCTAATAACGAATAGAATTTTTATTAAATCCGGCTTCATCCGAGGTACGACACGTGATCCTCTCCATCTTCCCACTCGCTCCAGCTTCAACCATCGAAATTTAATAGCACAATTTTCCTTATATACGAGTTATCTTGCCAAATTTCGTTTCTTAACCTTTAGTCAGCTTAATATATTAAGAAATAGATGCCAACACAAACAGGGGAAAATAAAACTCAAAGCATATAGAATAACAGGAAAAATCGAGAGAAAAAAAAAGAATAAAGATGCAAATTTAAAAACTATGCAATAAATTGGATAAACCATAATACATACAAAAATCGCCAGTAATCGTCGAAGCTATCTTTAAATGACGAAGATAGTTTCATATATCTTATTTGAATGAGGTTGAAACAATTTTTACGTACCAACCGACCATATTCATTACGATATAGGACGATACCGAAAACTTATACCATAAAGATACTGCAATTTAACAAGGGCAGAAAGGCGATATATTGCGTAAACGGAAAGTAAAGAAATTCATCTGGAGCTGAGCCAATCCGTGGTTTTGTACTCCAGCCGAGAGCCGAGTTGAATCTTCAAAATTCCGAGCTGTGCTCAGCTCATTTGTATATCTGTATCAAGGACGATCAGCACCCGATAGTTTTCCAGTCACAATTTTCAGTTTTTAGCGTATTTGCATAACTTAAATCAAGACTCGAAGCAACGATATAATATACAATGTATTTTCAAAATGTTTTTATCAGTTTATATGAAAAGTATTAAGAAATGTAAATTATTTAAATAGAAGAAAATTTATAGAATATAAATCGTAAACAACGTATTTATAACGATAACTTTTCTGAATTATATTCTTTATAAACGAGAATATTTTGTAAAAATTAAAACTTTTAGACAATATTTTTCGGCATCAATCATTTCCATGAGCTCATTTGCATATAAACTGTATTATCGACAACTTAATCGTTTTTTTTTTTTTTTGTATTGTAAGGATGTTTATGGCTAAACGAATCCATTGAGTGATATTTTAGAATTTCTGACAATTTTCGTTGTTATTCCTATGAATTTCCAACAATCGTATTGTTAGAGCGAAGGGACATGTCGAACGCTGGAGTTCGAGAAAGATTCAACTTGGAGGAAATAATTATAATTAACGAGAATAGAGAATCTGTGGTCGTGTGGCGAGCATCCTTGATACAAAAAGGAGAATTATTGAAACACTTCGTAATTGTGTGTCCGAATGAACGAAATTTTATTCTCAGACTATCTCTGACGTTGGAAATGCTCGAGCAATTTGCCAGTTTTGTACGAATCTATTATTAGAAAACTTACTTAAATTGGTAAATGGCAGTATGAAAATATTTCCGTAAATATTGGTGGAGTATCTAAAATAATTTGCATGCGTTAATAAGTGGAATAAAAAATTTTTGCGGGACTCAAAATCATTTAGAGTCCAAAATTTATAATTTATTATTCAAATAGTTTAAATATATTTTCTAATAAGTAAGCAGTTCAAAAATAATAAGTTTATTTAAGTCTTTCCCACACGGCCCACCAGTGACCAAGCAGTCTTTGATCCCTGAACACTGGGAGTTGGGTCCTGGGTTTGCGCCTCACTCGGATGGGCTGGCCATGTCGAGTTTTCCGAGTTTCCTTTACGTCTGTAACGCCTAAATAGGGGCCAGTTCTTCCTTAAAAACATTTCCTGGAAGGCATTCCCCTAGGCAGATCGCGCAAGTGTTCCGTTGCCATAACTAAACATATAAACAAACTTTACCGCACCCTAAACAATACTCATTTCGATAAACTTAAAGCAGCAAACACACACAATTTAAGATAAATAACACAATTAAATGTCGCAATACATATAAAATCGAACACATCAAAAATAAAGCGTAAAAAAGCACAGAATTCATCGGAGGTAACGCGAGAAGCGAGAGAACACTTAGGCGCACAACGCATTGCATTTAAGTTTCGAGAGCATTTTTCCGTTGCTCCAGCAGTTCGAACTTCGAAGAACCGAGGCGATTTTTTGTCGAATTTAGTTCGAACTCCGAAGCGCTTGAAGTTAGAATCGTTCGAAATACGAGATATTACTGTAATATAATAATAATGAATAGAAAACGCTTTGGCAGATTGTTTAAATATAATTAATTTTCTCCCGGGATTTCCAGGGATCCCGGAAAATCGTTCACATTTATCCCGGGATCCCGGGACAAGCAAAAGACCGGGAAATGAGAAACCCTACTTCCATCTTTTTATTAATTGTTAGAAAAAAATTATAGAATTTTCTTCTCATATAATATAAATTTTTAAGCACTATTCTTTACATACAATGTGTAACAGTTTTTATAGTTAAAATTCCGCTTAATCCTGTAGGTACTAAGAGAACCTTTTCTTTTCAGCCCCATTGTATCAATACATTCGTCCATGCTCACAGTAGACGTTCTAATGGTGAAAGACAGAACACAACACGTGCCCACCAGTGGACATATATAACGGAAGAAAAAAAACAATAATGGACAAGGGTAAAGAACCACCAAATCCCGAAATTTTGTATACATTTTTAGACTGAGGAGACCTTTAATCGTCAAGAAATCAAAAAACTTCGGGTTTATTTTGTGTGTGAAAGAGCACAAATTGGTTCACTTTGATGGAAACCATTCCTGTGCGTTTATCTTGGTACTACGAGAAATTTGGTACTACGAGATTGATGCTATTCAATTTTATTAGTTAAAGGTTGAGGGTGTGAAGTGATAGAAATGTCGTGTTTCATATCTCGAAAAGGGTAAGGCCTGACAAAGATCTACATCGTTATTCTTATCTTACAAAACTTATTTATACCCAGGAAATTAAGTTTTTCGACATTTTATAATAAATTGTTTTATATCTTTTGTGGCGTTCGTCGCACTACCTGATTATGTGTTCGCTGAGAATATATATAGAACCTGTATCTCACCATTTGCTTTATTCACATAATGTACATAGAAATCCCGTTCTACACTATCGGTACGGTTGGTCAGGATGCACGTGTTGGTACATGAGAGTAACCCTCGTCCAGAGAGTAACTGACAAGTCGGAAAAAAGAATATGGCGGACGGCCTGCACATGTTTATATATCCGTCGCGCCAGCGCCATCTAGATTTTCAGATGTAGCGCTAGTTACAATTATTCGGCCGCCACATCTTTTATATAAAAAAATTTCAATAAAATATTATACGAGATTGTAAATATTAACGGAAAAGTTAAGAAACTTTTTACTAGATTTTAACTTTTTCTCACACAAAAAATTTCATATAAATCGAAAAAAGAAAAGAAAAACATTAATTTTAATGTCATTTTTCAACAATGATGTCGATGTAACAATTTCCAATTGTTTCAATTGTTGAAGCGAAATGAAGCGTTCAAGTATTCGTTTACGAATTTCTAGTGAAAAAATGATGAGAGAAAGGTAAATTTAATCAAAAGTAATGTTTACCAATGACGTTTCTTTCATATTTATTTAAAATTTTATCAATTTAGTTATAATAGAAGTGATGGCGCTGAACCCGACGGTCAGCAAAATCAAAATTATTGGATTAATAATGTAAGTTATTCAATATCATCGATGAATTTTTTGATTAAAAGTCAATTAACAAGTCTTTATTATGAAATACGCATTAAGAGTAACAAATATTATTATTTTGACTTTCCATAGAGTCTTTATGATTTGCCCGCCAATGAGTGTTT